TTTCAATTATAAATTTCAGCATATTAATGGTTCTCAGAAATCATTTAAAATACTTGCTTACCGTGTGATATGGCGATTAAATAGCTATATTCACAGGAAAAATTATTAACTTGTTGTAGTATAAAACAACGCTGTTATTTCAAGTGTTTGTGAACATTAAAAATGACTTAACAATCCTTCTTAATACTTAATCAAGTCGTCAAAGAAGATAAAGAAATCTAGCTACAAACTCTTATCTTATTCCTCAGTACTACGCATACGTACTAGTTATTTCGCAGATACGGTTCATATTGCCACTTACATGCGGCATAATTGACTAAATCACAGTAAGGTAGGCCTTAACTAATTGATAACACAGTGTATATGTATAGATCTGAGTGGTTTATAGACCCATGCTTTTGTTCTTGCATCTTATTAAGAACATCTGGCAGTGACAGCATTGCTGTTTGCTGCTTTCGACAATAGTAAATGGCATAAAGTTTTTAACAATCGTTTGAAGGAGCAGCTTATTCAAAGTTTCTATTTTCTTAATTGAGAGCGGTTTTGAGAAATATCCATTAATTTGGTCTTTATTGCGATTTTAAACTATAGGACAACGATTAGGAATGGCTATTGTTTACACAAATTGTGTGGAACCCTCTGGACAGGCTGACGACGACTCTCTTTCTTTAGACGTAGATGGAATTACAGGTGTAGCAACACTAGCGTCTTTATTTACAGTTGTACGTTCTTCCCGAATCCCAGATAAGACAAGGGGGTGAGCGTATTTTAAATGTTGGGCTAAATTATAGGGGCCAGTACACTTGTGCGACAAAATGTTCGTGCAAATAAATAGTACATTTGGCCTTATATTCTCCCAAATGCGTAAAAAACTCCCATGTTTTAGATTTTTTACTGTTGGAGCCATAATCAAGCTAAATAAGTAATTGTGGTAAAACCACCACCTCTAGCAACATACAGGGTTACAGGTTAAGTCGACCTAAATCCTAAGAGGTGGTAGTTGCCATCATTTTTGACTGATTTGACTATGGAACCCACTACCCCAAACTTAACCGTCTCAAGTTATGGGACTTTGAAGATTTTTTATAAAAAATCCAGATTTTTTGTCTATTGTCCCCTTTTTTTGTGTTTAGTACCTCTAATGTTTTTGTTATTGTATTTTTTGTGTAGCAGATTAGTTGTTCCATTATTTTAAACACAAAAACTGCAATTAACTGTACCAACTGAGTCGTATTAGACGACTAATTGTTAAAAAAAGAAATAAATTTGTGAAAAGTGTTTTTTTCTTTGTAAGATATTGCAAAAAAAGTCTATGACAGTTGTGCTGCAGATATGCTTAAAAATATCTACGCTTCTTCAGCTTTCCGATAAGGTATAATACAATATGGTATTATTGGATTTTTTTAATAAAAACTTCGATGATATGCTACCAGGTAGTAGTAAAAAATAACGATACTTAAGCGTCAAATTTAACTTTAGTCAGAAAACAAAATAAAACAATCCAAATAGGATACGAATAAGGTATATTAATAATTTTTACAATACATGTTCCACATGTCCACCCCTATTTCGCACACATACACGCATTCTGTGTCTAAAGCCACTTTTCTCTACCCCAGTTGTTAGTCTAGTCCTAATTTTCTGCCTCAAAACATCAACAGATGTTATTGGGTTAGGTTCGTTGTAAACCAAACTTTTCATGTGCACACATAAAAAGCCATGGGTGTCAAGTCTGGACTTCTATCTGGCCACGGTATAGGCCCACCTCTTCCGATACACTTATTTGAGTAATTTTTTTTTTTTAAATAAAACAATTGCCGCAGACATAGGCGTCCGCGCTCTTTTTTAATGATTCTCATTTATTTAGTACATTCATTTTTCTTTTTATTACAGCTTCGTGTCCTCACTAGACACGTGTTTATAATTATAATCTTAAAGCTACGTGAGTCCATATTTTTTTTTATATTTTTTTTTGTTTGTTTGTTTTTTTTTTCTTCTTTTTTTCTTATTATATGCATGCATACATTTATATATATATATATATATATTTTTTTTTATTGTCTAATTCCTTTTACACTTTGCCGACATTTGTTTATTAATATTATTCTATATTTATAATTTTCAATGTTAATGCTTAAGTGCTAATTTTATGGCTTGATGTGGGGTTTGGATGAATGAGGACGGGGGTACAGGTTTCAGACTTGCAGATTTTGCTTAGGATGGGCTTGCCCTCTACCGACCAGGGATTTCACCAGTTTAAGCATCGCTTCCATGATGGGAGCGTCTCGATGTTGCATGGCCGTCTTTAGGTTATAATCGACGACCGATTTTGTCTGGGCGTTCATTGCCTTCTTTATGAGGCGGCCTGTGGCGTCATCGGCGTCGTCGGTGTAATAGACGCAACTGACTTTATGTCGTGACACCGCCACAACCGCGTGGGAGACGCTATCGTGGATCTGGTGTTGATTATTAGAGCGCTGTCGCAGGTCAACCCCTGAGCCTCGTGGATGGTTAGTATTTTAGACCCCTCGCCGGACCCATATCCCTGGCTAGCAAGGGAAATCTTCTCCTCCTGTGTGTGGACCAGGAACAAGGTGTTCCGGGCAAGTCTCGGTATGGTCGCTCCCGAGTAACCCTTCACCCTCAGGGAGTGCATCCGCGACGTCCTTGAGGAGTATATCCCAGGGTATATCTCGCTCAGCGCGTACGCCACGTCCATGGGGTTGCGGTGTGTGCAGAGAAGCTCTAGGGTGATTTCAGCCACCATGTTTGGACGTGTGTATCTGAGCTGGAACAGGTTCTCCCTGTCCAGAAATGGCAGTTGATTCACGTCTCCAACGAGTACGACCTCACCCGCGCCGGACAGTTTTGCTGCCATGACTATGGCCCCAAAATGGTTCATTAGACCCTCGTCCACTATGAGGCGGTGGCATTTGTTATGGGGCTTGAACCCGTTGGACAATATTGAGGCCATAGTGCGCACCTTTGTCTTTGTGCGTTCTCCAAGGCGGGGCTCCAGCCTGTCCCTGAGATCTTTTGCGGCTTCGGTCGTCGTAGTAACCGCCACGTCCCTTCTCTCGTCGAATTGTTCGACTATCCATGTTGTTTTACCGCAACCCGGAACTCCGTTCACCCACCTTATGTTGGGCACCGCCCATCCGTCTTGCAATGCCGGGAGTTCCGTGGTCCCCGAAGTGGCCTGAGCCATCCCGAGGATCCTGTCCTCCAGCATTACTCTGGTGCATTTGGCGGTGACCACTATCGAGTCGCCCTTGGGTGTCCTGAATTTCACTGTCCCTGTGCGTTCCGACTCCTCTTGATCAAGGCTCACGAAGCCGCTCGTCGCACTATATGCTGCCATGTACGACCCCGTCATTTCTCCGACGATCACCTGGGATGTGGCGTTGTCGTACACGGCCGCCCCCGCCTCCTCGAGCAGTACTCTCAGCAGACCCTCCGTCTGACGTTGGAAGGTCAGCATAATTTTTCTGCATGTCATGAGATTGACCTCCTTGGTAGCTCTCACGACTGCTACGTACTCGAGGAAAGCGCTCTCCACGTGATCCGTGATGCCCGAATTCACTGCGAGGGTCGGTGGGCTGACGTGCCCTTTGTCGGCTCTTGTTGGTACAGGGACTGGCTTTTTCGGTTCTTCTGGTGTTCTTTTGAAGAACCTTTTGAGGGCTGACTCCTGCTTCGTGGGTGTGGAACTGTGGCTTGTACTCGGGAGCAGTGCACCGAGGAAAGTGCTTATGGCCTTCAGTCGGCTCCTCGACCGGGCTCGGTTCTCAGGGCTGGTGGTTTTGGCCTGCTCCTTTGCGGCTTTCTCAGCTGCTGCCTTTTGCTGGGCCCTTTCTGATCCTCTCAGGGTGGTGGGACTTGTCGCGGTGTTCGTCGCGCCGGCTGTTGGATCTCGGGGAGTTTTGAGAAAACTCAGAGTCTCCCCTCTGTCTTCATAGACGATCACCTCATGTTGTTCTGAGGCTTTCAGGCAGCCGAAGCGGTCCGCGACATCTCCTCTTTCCCATCCCACCACCATCGCGTCCACGCTAATGGCACGGGCTGCGATTGGTGTATGTTCTCCTATTTCCCTGATCTTCTGGAGCAGCAAGTTTGCCTGCGCAAATGGAGACTCCTCCCCCCACTCGAGCAGTGCGATGGTCTTTCCTTTGAAACGCACCAAGCGGCATCGGTGAGTGTCTAATACCACCTGGGGCAGGGCGGCGTACTTACTGCCCTTCATCCTTGCTTTGGTGGTGCTCCCGTTGATCAGGGCGGCAAGGCCCGGCGAAATATCTATACGGACCCCAGCTCGGCTCGAACCTATGCAGAAGCTTATACCCAGTGTTTCTGTTTCTCTGTTCATGAACAGAGCGACTCCTCGCAGCTTTATGCCTGGTGTACCGCGTCCGGCACCCGCCAGGAACTGCGTGATGGGCATGGCGTTTGGGCCCGACACTGGGCTGGCGCTGCTGCTGACGATGGGACTGTCAGTAGTTGTTGCTCTGCGTTCGGGTGTGTGGGTTGTGTTGCTGTGTTTGAGTAATTAGTGTCTAGCCACTTTCTGACAATCCTTCCAAAGTGCGCGGGGCACCCGTCGTGCTGAAACCACATGTCTCGAATGAGGTTTAATGGTATGTCGTCGAGCTTATTATAATTTTCATAGGTCTCTCCATTCAAATTTGGAGGAAGAAAGTAAGGCCCAATTAGATAGCTTGATATTATTCCCATCCAAACGTTAAGGCTGAAACGTCTCTGTGACCCCTTTACTCTTTTCTTATTAGGATTTCTTCCTGCTTTCGGAGCCCAATGATGGGCGTTATGTCCCTGTGCAGTAAGTGTTTTGACGTAACAAAGTTTCTGCCAAATCCACACTATTATAATAAGTGTCCATGTATAACGAGTGACCAGCGTTATAGTCTTCGATCAATTTGAACTTTTTTTGCGTGCCCAGTACCGCTCACTCATACATCTGTATCCTGTGCACAAGTCCTTTGGGATCAGCTAATATGTACAGTTTGATACCAAACTCGTGGCGTTTATTTTTGATATACTGACGAATGGCGAGCAGGTTCTCTAAATAAAACGATAGACTCGTCTATCGTGAGCTCCCTTTCTGGGTGAACAAAACCTTTCATGGTATTATTAAAATATTCGATTAGTGGATCCACTTTATCATATGTATGAGCTCTCGTATTTTCATAATTGAAGTACAGCATTCGTAGAATTATTAAAAATCTATTGCGGCTTATATACTTCCGTGAATGAAATGTATGAAATGAGATTGTGTCAACTTGACTCGAAGACAGATATGGATATGATGTTCGTAACTGTTCTTTGGAACCATTTAACATTACAATGACTCGCGTGTTCTGTTCCCAAATCATGGTCCAAAAGTTTCCCATGGTGTTCGCTATAGGTTCTTCGGCTGCTATAAATTTACTACTTAGCTCGAATCCACTTATAAACTTTACTTCTTCTGGAAACCTGGTTACATTCATAGGCTTTAAATCGAATGTTGCTGTACCAACATGGCCTAAACTGTATTCTATTTTTGGTCTTACATCATTAAAGGCTCCAGTTTCATGATTTCACAGAGAACGTTAGGGTACAAATCATACGTCAAGTTCGGAGAATTTTCCAGAAGAATAACATCATACGGATTTCCTTTAGATTCGTTACCATACACCACTTTACTAGTTGCTGCGTATTGATAGACTCTGTCTACCAACAAATACATTCTTATCTGTTACTACGTAAGATGCTACCCGATCTTCACTTTTACATACAGGATATAAACCAGAGAACATTGATTACAGCTTTTTTGATTTAATATCTTGAGGAAGGTTAATATATGAACTACCACGTAGGGGGTTGAATTTGTTAACATTCATATCTATGTATTTAATTTGATTAAAACTCCAACCACTACCTTTTTTTTAAATTGACAAATTTTATCGATTACAGTGTCTATCAATGATGAATAAAAAATATTTAAGTCATCTCCCTGACAAATTATGTCATTAAACGTTCGAAAATCAAACGTATTTTTAATATCTTTAGTTTGTTGTATGAAATCAGCATGTATAAGTTGTTAATAATATAAAGTTTATTTAAAAAAATATATATATGTTGTTGAATACATCCATTTATCAAAAATAATATATCGATTTTTAATGAATTTAAAAACGATTCCGGTGTTTCAAAATTTAATTCCTGATTGATGTGTTTTACTATTAATTCTATATGTTAAAATTCGATTGCCAAAAGCGGTTTCAACAACTTTAACATCTGTTAAAGAATTATGTGATGTGTATTTCTTTTTAAATGGCTGTTTAGATACCTTTTATTAATATAAACATGATATGTATCACATTCCACCTTATTGTTGTCCATGTCATTGGTTTCAATTGATGATGTAGAAGGTCCTTCATAAAATGTTGCTTTCTTGGTAACCTTATTTTCATCAGTAGTGATACCTCGTTTGACCTCTTCCAACTTGTTGTTGACTGTAACAAAAAAGATTATACAAATCTTAAAATAAAACATTACTACAATAATATTTCTTATTGAGTTGGTACTTCTAATACATACTTACATCAACGTTGTTTCAACTATTAAACATTGATTATACAACTCATCATCATACGATGTATCGAACAGTTCACGCTTCTCCATTTCATCACAAACTTTAGACAGCTCCTGATTGAATTCACTGTTGGATTGTATTTGTTCTATATTCTCTTCAATGGGTGTGGAAAAGAAAGCACTGGTGGATATTTCACTGAAGTTTTCGATCTTTATAATAAAAAAAGGAAGTATGTGGCACAGTAAGTAACAGTTAAGTGTTGGTAGAGCAACTGATACCCAATTTCTAATAATGTCCAATATTTTCAATATAAAATCTAGATTTTATATTGAAAATATTGCTTTGCTAGCAAAGGATTAGGAAAGTCATGTAAAATTTTATGAGTACACAGAATCACATTTACTAATGAGCGTCATTGTTAAAAAAGTATTGTTTAACTTTTTCACTTTCTGCTATTGTCTTTGTAATATTGTCTACAAGGCCGTTTGTGTTGTCGTAGATGCTATCCTTATTATTCTTTACGTAGTATTTAATCCTCGTGGTAGCGTGCTTCCAGTGATCACTAGTTGGAATCTTGGATAGTTTCTTAATATCATACATTTCAATTTTTATGAGATGCGTCGCTGGGTCTCCGTCATCAGAATTTGTAGAGATGTATGATACGCCATCTCTAGCAGCTCGTGCCACAGTCGACGATAGCAGCTTCTTACTTTTTATTATGGTGCGACTTCAAAAAATTGATCAATCGGTTGCGATTTCCTTTTTCCACCATCGTCTGTGTTAAATGTGGGCTGTGTTAAATGAAATACACTAAGATTCCTATGATGACTACCTGTTGTAAATATATCCACAATTCTTCCATCAGACTCTCGCTTTTCGCGGGTTTTCGCCATCAAACATATTAAGATTTGGATTTCCTTGATGATAGTTAACATTTGGTAAATTGTATAAAGGCTGCATTTCATCAAAGCACCATGTGATCTGATTAAAATCACAATTATAAACTTCTTTAACTGATTTTATGAAACTTGTCACACAAAATTTGACTTCCCACATCCACTTGATCCTGCCACAATAGCAGTAAACGGATCGATAAAGTGAAACATTTCACACGTCTAGATTTTTAAAGGAATGAAATAAAAATGAAAATGTTGGTGTAAAAATTAATATATATTGCTAAAATTATATAAAACATGTAATTTGTGAAAAACAGTATACTACTTCTAACACAATTAGTACTTATCAGAATAATTTCGCAATCACCTCAACGTCAAATTTAAGCACACAAATAAAAACTACAATTATTCACAATTATTTACAATCAAACAATACATTTTAAATATGTAAATAACTATTATATAACATTATAGTAATATCATAATTTTACAATCAATACAAATTTTGTATACAGGGTTACAGGAACAGTCGTGCTAGATCCGTTAAGGGCGTGGAGTACTCATCATTTCTGACTTATTTCACTATGAAACACCCTACCCTAAACTTAACCCTTTTCGAGATATTCGACTTTTAATGTTTTTAATGAAAATTGACGATTTTTAGGCTACTAAATTTAATTTTGTTTATTTTATGTGTCTTATTATTATTATTCCATTTCTACATGTGTAATAAGATGCTTTAGGACCCCAGTCATTAAAATAGTGAATAAGTTAATTCAATACGCCGTAGTAAAAAAGAGAAAGTTAAAAAATTAAAAAAAAATTAGAAAGTTTATTTTTCTCTGAGGGATATCTAAAAAAAAGATTACGGCACTTGATCGGCAGATAAGTTATAAAACATCTACGTTTCATCAGCTATCCAACAAGGTAACGGGTGGGCCATGAATTAGTTAACAATTGAAAAAATCGTATAAAAAAAGCCATTTGACATATTTTTAAAATTGTTTATTTACAAGAAAGTTAATTAATTGGAATTGATTTTTTAAAAATAACATCATCTAAATACAGCAAACGTAACCGAACGGCCGCGAGAATCTTCAAAAAAGTAGGGCCCAATGATTCCTTTTGCTGAAATTGCAGCCCATACCGTTACCTTGAGAGAATGAAGTGGCTTCTCATGTTTAGATTTGGGATTTTCGCTGCTCCAATACCTGCAATTCTGTTTGTTTACGTGTCCGTTGAGGTGGAAATGGGCTTCGTCGGAAAAAAAGATGTCAAAATTATTGAATCGATCTAACATTGTTTCGGCATACGACTTGCGCAAATTTAAATCATTAGGTTTTAATTCCTGCACTAATTGGATCTTATATGGATGTAATTTCAAATGTAATTTCAAAATACGGCGCAATGATGTACGGGATAATCCTAATTCAGTCGAACGTTTGCGCGTCGATAAATTTGGATCACGTCGAACTGATGCGGAAACTCGCTGCACGTTCTCTTCGCTCCGAGAAGTCCGTGGGCCGCCGGTTTGCTTCACGTTTAGTGTAGATCCCGTCTCTTCGAACTTCTTAACCCATTTCTTTATTATTGGAGCACTTGGACACTGATTTAAATCGTGTAAGTCGTATTCAACGCGAAATAAGCGTCTCACAGTAATGAGCGAACTGTTGTTTAAATAAAATTGTTTCACACAATAAGCGCGCTGCGGCCCCGTGAAGCGTTCCATTGCGACTAAATTTCCAAGAAGCGACCTAGTGGTAAGGCCCCTCCCCGCTCCCCGCGCGGCTTGTATAAGCGCGGGAAGTTAGGTTTAAATGTTAACGAATTCTTGGCCCACCCTGTATAACAATCTAGGGTTTCATTTAAATGCATTGAAAAAACTTAGTTTCATAGGCGATAGTGGAGGAAAAAAATAATTAGCAAAAAAAAAGAAAATTAAAATTAATGCAAAGTATTTATTAAATAAGGTTTTTACACGACTTTTTGTTAGAATTCATGTTCAACATGGCCGCCTCTGTTTCTAATACACTGTCGCATTCTTCTACGGAGACCAGTCTTCACTACTCCAGTGGTCAACGTTGTCCTCATTTGATTGGCTGTATTCACAATCCTTTCTTTTACTTCTTCCACAGACGAAACTGGATTTGACTCGCTGTAGACAAGACTTTCATGCGCCCCTACACATGAAAATCCATGGGGGTTAGGTCCGGACTTCTAGCTGGCCATGGCAACGGCCCACCTCGTCCTATCCATTTGTTTGAATAATTTGTGTCCAGGTAGTCTCTGACACTTCTCCTAAAATGTGCAGGGCAGCCATCATGTTGGAACCACATGTCCCTGATCAAGTTGAGTGGCAGATCATCAAGCAAATCACTCAAGTCTCCTCTCAAAAAATTTTCGTAACTTTCCCCATTTAGATTGTCCGGGAGAAAGTAAGGTCCAATCAAATGATTGGAGATAATACCCATCCACACATTTACGCTAAATATTCGTTGGGAACCCTTCACTCTTTTCTTATTGGGATTCCTAAGTTCTTTTGGGGCCCAGTAATGCGCGTTGTGATAATTAGTTATGCCATCTTTATCAAATTTGGATTCATCTGTCCATAAGATATTTCTTAGAAAATCTGGGTCTTCTACGTCAGCATTTAGCATAAATCTGCAGAAGTCCGACCTTCTCGCGGGGTCTCCTTCTTCAATAGAATTACCGGCGTGTAATGGTACGGGTGTAGGCCAGCAGTATGCACTGTAAACCATACTCTCCATTGCGAAAGTCCCAGATTACGGGCAAAAATATTGGTAGAAGTAGTCGGATCCGCTCGAAAGTGCTGCACTCATCTCATTGTCCTGTGCGTCGTCGTCATTAACATCTCTTCTCCACAAATATTCATACATAACATCACTAATGTTTATACGATTGTTATAATTTTCTTTATAAAAAAAACGTTTCACTAATCGCCACTGTGATTCAATCCTTTGTGTATGTGTACCATCCTCAGCTATAAATGGATTAT